GTTGCGGTTGTTATAGCTTTTAAACCATATTGACAGAAACAGAAATTAACCGATTCAGGTGTGCGTTTGAAAAGTCAGAAAACATCAGAAAACGTCAAAAAGGGCTCCACATACTATCAGAATAGAATGGTCTATTGATGCACAAATGTGTGAGCATTTTAGAGACTTTTCCACATGCAACATTATCTATTAAAGATAGACACTTAATGACGATACTACCATTTACAAACTACAGTGGCACCGCCAATATTTAAAAGCCCTAGTATCGCGATACTACAGGTAAACCGTGCAATCCTAAAATATATTAATAAAAAATAAATAAATCTTACAACTTTCTGATGCATTTTCTCTCTTCATTTACAAATTTCATGATATATTCGGATGGTTTTCTTGTGATATAAATCTCTGATATCGAAATCTATCATTATGGGGCATTATCACAATGTAGGATTTTGTAATATTGTGCAGCCCTAGCTTACAGTGCATTCGGAAAGTATTGATAGCGCTTCACTTTTTCCACATTTTTATGTTACAGCCTTATTTCAAAATGGATTAAATTCATTTATTTCCTCATTCTACACACAAATTCACAAATTCTACACACAATACCCCATAATGACAATGTGAAAAAATATTTTTTATTTTTTTTTTGTGCAAATTTATTAAATATAAAAAACTGAAAAAACACATGACCATCAGTATTCACAGCCTTTGCTCAATACTTTGTTGATGCACCTTTAGCATCAATTACAGCCTCAAGTCTTTTTGAATATGATGCCACAAGCTTGGCACACCTGTCTTTGGGAATTTTTGCCCATTCCTCTTTGCAGTACCTCTCAAGCTCTATCAGGTTTGGTGGGAACCAACGGTGTACAGCCATATTCAGATCTCTCTAGAGATGTTCAATAGGATTTAGGTCTGGGCTCTGGTTGTGCCACTCAAGGACATTCACAGAGTTGTTGTTAAGCCACTCCATTGATATTCTGGCGGTGTGGTATTAGCCTGGTGATGAGCGGTGCCTGGTTTTCTCCAAACTTAATGCCTGGCATTCACTCCAAATAGTTTAATTGTAGTGTCATCAGACCAGGGAATTTGGTTTCTTATGGTTTGAGAGACTTTCAGATGCCTTTTGGCACATTCCAGGCGAGGAGAGGCTTCCGTCTGGCCACTCTGCCATAGAGGCCTGATTGGTGGATTGCTGCATAGATGGTTGTCCTTCTGTAAGGTTATCCTCTCTCCACAGAAGAACGCTGGAGCTCAGACAGAATAACCATTGTGTTATTGATCACCTGCCTGACTAAGGTCCTTCTCCACCGATCACTTAGCTTAGATGGCCGGCTAGTTTTAGGAAGAGTCCTGGTGGTTCCAAACATCTTCTACCTACGAATGATGGAGGCCACTGTGCTCATTGAAACTTTTAGAGCAGCATCATTTTCCTGTAACCTTTTCCAGCCTTACGTCTTGAGACAATCCTGTCTCTGAGATCTACAGACAATTCCTTTGTCTTCATGCTTGGTTTGTGCTTTGACATGCACTGTCAATCGTGGGACTTTATATAGACAGGTGTATGGCTTTTAAAATCATGTCCAATCAACTGAATTTACCACAGGTGAACTCCAATTAAGCTGCTAAAACATCTCAAGAATGATCAGTGGAAACAGAATGTACCTGAGCTCAATTTAGAGCTTCACAGCAAAGGCTGCGAATACATATGTACATGGGATTTTCAGGTTTTTATTTTTAATAAATTTGCAACAATTTCAAACTCTTTTTTCACATTGTTATTATGGGAGATTTGAGGAAATAGATGACTTAATTCCATTTTGGAATAAGGCTGTCACATAAAGAAATGTCCAAAAAGTAAAGTGCTATGAATACTTTCCGGATGCAGTTGCAGCTTCTATTACATATACATTTATACCAGGCTCTTTTATTTAAAGTGACCTACATTGCATTGAAAATACACATTTCTTTATTTTCTTTGGGAATTGAACTCACAACCATGATGTTGCTACAACACACACCTTTGTATAGCACAAAAAACACAATATTTTATAGCAAATATTAAATCATGCTGCTACTGATCTTGGAAGTGAATTCAATGCAATATTTTTAGCAAATATTTTTCCATTTTAAAGGCATCAAGCTCCGAAATGCATAATAAATGTAACACAAATTTCACACACTAAATTTTAAATTGATAGCATGTTATTATGAGAACAAAAAAAAACCCACAATGAACAAAGCATTGAAGCTTGATCTTCGTAAACGACATCAAGTGATTCATTACAAAGACATGACTCAAACGAATGAGTCAGTGAAAAAACAACTTTCATTTTCAATTGTTTCTTACATCTGAGCGTGGCTTTAAAAGGCTTGAAATCTTTTCTAAGGCCCTGCTTTCTGTAATCTTTTGAAGCTTGAAAATGCTTTACGATCTTTATAGTTTCTCCTGTAGGTGATGAGGGTGAGTAAATAATGACAGCAATTTCTTTTATGAGTAAACAGTCTCTTTAAGGTCATTTGTGGACACCACCCATTGATCATCAGAACTATTACTGTATGTGGGACAGAAACAAAAACAACCTGCATGCTGGAACATATACGGTGCAAGACAAGCCCATTTTATCAGTCGCTCCTGTGTTTTGATCCAGTTTGAGTGTGGAAAGAAAGAAAGAAAGAAAGAAAGAAAGAAAGAAAGAAAGAAAGAAAGAAAGAAAGAAGCCAATTTGATGACAGTTGACAGTAATCACACTGCCCTTTTAAATTATGAAAATTTACTGTTATTTTACTCGTCTTCTAGCCATCCAAAATGAAGGTGAATTTTGTCCTTCATTAGGATTTAGTCTTAAATCATCATTCTTGATTATTCAAAAAAATAAAAAATTTAAACAAACAGCTACCTGCACTTTAAAGGACCATGATGCGAAGATGAATTTCTGAAAGAGTGCAGTTTTATTGGAAGATTAAATACCGCAAGCCGTATGGTAGAAAAAACACTCTGCATTTCTCTGTAACCTAGAAGCACTCGGTAGGTAGCGTCAGAAAGCCGTGTCTGAACAGACTATCCTGTCACAAAATGTGGTGAAAATCCTACACAACGCTAATAGTTTAAGGTGTTTACATGTTTATGTAACGGAGGCCAGCTAGTGAGTGATGTGCAGGTAAACCTCACTCCTCTGACCTCTAAAGGTGCGCTAGTGACTAACACTAAAGGCCACAGTCTTTAGCCTCCTTGGTAGAGCACCAGACTTCCATGCGGAAGGTCGCCAGTTCGATACCAGCTCAGAGCAGGTTGGGTAGCGTAGGACTGGCGGGTTTACATTTACATTCGGAGAGCAGCATTTACAGCAGATTTTACAGCAGTTCATAACATTGTAGTGTATAAACGAACTTTAAACTTAGAAACAATCATTTCGACTAATGTATGTCTTTTACACCTAAAAAAGTAGTGCAGACGATACTAACTAATGTTGCCATCTGAATTAACATAAACAAAGAACACTGATCAAGCACTTACCAAATCCGTAGAGACAGGACAATCAACACCAACTGGAACTGCTTCTTTTTTTAAAGGAGACGAGCGGCAAATCTGGATTTCACAATTTCCAGATGCGAAAAGCTCTCGGGTAAAATTTTTCCTTACAAACTTATTTTGCTTGAAATAGTCCAAAAACTACCAATTTTCACTTTGTACTGAAATATATGTGTCCTAATAGAGTTTTAGCAGCGTGGGACACATATATGACTGTTAACATCTCAAAAATGTGTTTTAGTGTTTCGGGACCCTTTAGTTAAAAGGATAAAGGTAAAACCAAATAATGCCCATGGCTCCTGACCTGCTTGTTCAAACTACTAATTTAAAATGAGCTGAATCAATACAATTCTTAAGATTTTGGGAGGGGGGGGGGGGGGGGTAACTTAATTGTTTTATGTTTCATTCACTTAAATTTGTACCTTATGTTTAATTCACTCTCTTAAACCCAGGACTTTTTACAAGCGTTGTGAAGCAATGCCGTCAACCTGTGCAATAAACTGAAAATGTTTTACAATTTTTTACATTAACAACTTTATAAATTAATTTTGCCTTCAATTGTTTGTTGTTGACTCTCCAAATGGCTCATTATGAATCAAAGGGCACAATTTAAGCTTATTTTATTCTAGATCTTCCTTTTTCTACTAAAGATAAAAAGTCACCAACATCTTACATTAACAGCAGATTTCCATTTTTGTCTGAATTATTGCATTGAGGCGGCTTTGTGCTCAAAATCAAAAAAGGCCAGACTAATTCTGCCTGCTCTGACCCATATGCCTAAAGTAGGAATTACACCGCCTCCCAATAGCAATTGAAGAGTCAATTAAAGATGCCACCTTTGCAGTGTACATTGGGCATTATTATAAATAAAGCAGCACTTCAAGGAAATTCAAGGTGAAATTGTGAGTCAGGAGTACATCATGTTCTGCTGCCAGTGCATCTCGCATTAAGAGCTGGGTTATTGTGCGCGACACCGGCCCGTGTTGATGACAGCTCGACCCCTCCGGGCAAACCGATTCACAACAAACCGCGCGTGCCACCTTCACCCCGGCGCGGCGCGCGAGTGGAACACTGACGTCACAATGGCCAAAGAGTTTGTTTGTGTTCGAAGACAGAATAGAAGTGTCATCGCCTCGGGGTCGCGCCAATCATAAGGTGAATAAAATGACGAATAACAACAGTCATAATAACAACAATATAAAGCACCATTAGACTAGTGGTGATGCCATATCGCATTTGACAACGGCAAATGACAGAAACGTTACCAAATCAGTAGAACATTACTGGACCTGTGCCACCTTGATCCGATGCTGACATCAGTCCGATCAAACGCGCGCGATCAGCACCATAACGATAGTCTAACAAGTTCACACACCCTTTTTCTGTCTGTGACACACACCACTCCCTGTCGCCCGTGCACCTGCCAAACAGCCCACCTGTGCGTCCGATCACACACGACTCTCACCTGGGGATGCAGTTCGGAGAGGAGCCGTCAATCTCCCAAGTGGCGAACAGGTTCATTGGCACCGGTCTGTTGAGCGCCCCGCTCCCGGGGAAGCTTAACCGGCCACTTCTCTCCGCCATGCTCGCTGCTGGTGTCCCGTTCACCTCAGCCCGACACAGTGCGAAAACTTGTCTCTCTCTCTCTTTCTCTTTCTCTCTGGAAGCGCTGGGTCTAAATCCTGCCCCGTTCACACGGCTGCTAATCCGCTGCTCCACGGACACGGGCTACCGTTTACGGGTGGCGCGCTGACTCGCGAGCGGTGTCGGCGTGCAGCTTCATGCCGCTGTGTTTCGGGATTTCCACACCGCGCACCGAGTAACTGCAGCAGCCACTCACCGCAGGAAGTCACGTGACTGGCGCATCTGCGCTCTCGCACATTCGGGATGGCCAGTGCATAACGGGACAGAAGTGAAAGTAGCTACTTGGTGCTGTTTATAAAACCCCCAGTCACGTCATACTGCTAGGGTGCAGTTAGTGGATCTCAATCTTTTTGACTTCATTGTACTATATATTGTTAAGGCATCCGGTCCTTTTGACTCAATCAAATATTTTAGAGCAGTTGAAATCTAGAAAGACAGGCATTTATTCGGTTACAATTGACCAAATAACAAAAACTATAATAATTTTAATGGTTTTAAAAGATCATTTAATTACTAGTAATTAGTGGACCCCGCAGTCCCCTGGTGGAGAACCACTGAGCTAAAGTCTATTATTATATAGTCCTTGCGAGACCTGAGCATTTAAAGAAAAGCATGCAATAAAATAACACTTTTCATGTTGCCCAAGATTAAAACATCTAATACAAGTTAATAAAACTTCTGATAATAACATGTATTAGTGTACTGTATATTCATTCAGTCATTTTTCTTTGGCTTAGTCATTTTATTCATCAAGGGTCACCACAGCGGAATGAACTTGCAACTTATGCAGCATATATTTTACACAGTGGATACCCTTCCAGCTGCAACCCAGTACTGGGAAACATCCATACACTCTCATTTACACACATACACAATACGGCCAATTTAGTTTGTTCAATTCACTTACAGCGCATGTCTGAACATCATACTAATTAAAATGAAATAAATAAATATGCACATAAAATGGTAACTGACCAACACTAGCTGCATTCTAAACATCCAAATAATTTTCACGCAACACAAATGTTATAACAGCAGCATTTTATCATGACTATTTGATCAACATATTTCACCAACATAACATATTTGTCAACAGATTCTAATTCAGGTATTGGGAACCTTTTTTCAGCAAAGAGCCATTTCTGATTTTTAAGCAAATTATTATTTTTTAAAGAACCATTGGGGTTTATATTATATCCTTTCTTCATTTATTTCCCTGGACAACTCAATAAAGAAATTACAATTTACAGAATGTTTCCCTTCCGTCGTCACCACTCATGAATGTTGTTTGAATTTACCTGCACGAGGTGACCTTAAAAATGTAAGTTGCTGGCCCTTTATTGGTGTCATGATTAAAGTTAATCCACAGCACTGCTTTAATTGTTAACTGAGTTCTTATTAATTATGATGTAAAAATACATTTAAACTTTAAAATATTATTGAAGAGAGACAGTTGGAGAGCCAAAAAAAAAAAAAACATTGTGAAAAAACATATCGTGAAATCAGATCTGATCATAAAGTTGTTTCTGAATATTTTCATTAAAGGGCACCTGTTTTAACCCTTTTTCAATATTTAATATTAGTCTTTTTTGTCTCCAGAATGTGTTTGTAAAGTTTAAGCTCAAAACACATGACAGTTTATTTATTATGCCTTTCAGAATATGGAATTTTCTGCTCTGAACATGATGTAGCTGTTTTTGTGGCCTGTGCCTTTAATGCTAACTCTTCCCGCCCACCGTTCCCATGTGCCTGTCAGAGTGTGCCTAAAGGGCGTCACACACACACCGGATGCCCGCTCGGTGCGACACGGCGCGCACATGACAGTTAAAAGTATCGCACACCAGATGCGCACATTCATGATATTTAAAATAAAACTAATCAGATGGCGCTCTGTGGCGTGGCAGAAGTATAAACAATGTCCTGAGTCGTGGATGGTCGCTGCAGACAGCCGCCGACATGCGCCTCCGGTGTGTGTATTCTGACAGAAACCTATGTGTAGAATTACAAAATGCATGGCGCCGGCATTGAATCATCTTCTTTTATAATCTTACTGACATGCGGCCGTGGTGATAAAGACAGTAAAATCGCTGTAAAGCTGTGGTCACACTTGACTTTTCTCCCCATAGACACATTCATACACACGCAAATGCCTCATACCAGAAATGCAGGATCATGCGTTACGTTTCGCAGTTTGATGCGGTGCAAAGTTCAATCATAGTGAACTCTGACTTGCGAAATCGTATCACTTGACTGCGTGAGCTCAAACGAGGGTCAAAACATGACCTCTCTGGACAGAAATTTACAAACATGGCGCAATCGCTCGCTTTCTTATGTCTAATCAGCTTGTTTAATCCTGTCCCTTTTCGCAGGGCCGTACGACAGAATTTGGCACATCCAAACTCTAGTGTGACCACAGCTTAATTCAGTACAAACATGCACTGTTTTAAACATGTTTTAAACTTGTAAAAATTATTGTTGATTAAATTTGATCGAGCTTTACAGATCTTTTAATCCCAGTTGCTTTGCTTGTTGATATGAATATATGCATTACTACCAAGACATGCTAATACGTGGCTGTCAATCAATTCAGTGGGTGGGGAAACCGCACTCCTACATCACATTGCGGTGGGCATAAAGATGGGAGGGATTTTGATCCTAAAGTCAGGAAATTAAATAAAAAAAGAGACTTATTGTGTTTATATCACTCCAACATGACACACTACACCTACACACAGTTCTGTCCAAACATCTTCCAAAAGATGATTTTCATAATCAAGTCTGTTGCATTACATGGGCTATACCAGCCCTCATGTGTAGCCTATGTGATAAAAGCCTATTGTGATTTGGCAACTCAAATTTAGTAATCTATTAAAAAAAAAGTTGTGTCTAGAAACTGAGGTGATCCAATTCAACTTTGTCACTGACAAAGTGATAATGATAAAGCAAAAGGACAAGCTGTTCCAGTCCAATCTGCAGTAATTAACTGTCCTCCACCTGTCTGCCCTATTTGTCTCAGTGTTTCTCAAACAACTCGTGTATTTTCATCAGTGGGGAACAAACCGCTCTCAGCAATCTGATCTCGATGCACTTGTTATTTGTTTGTAGTGTGATTTTATCTGTTTGCCCTTGAGGACGAGCGCGTCGCAGTGCACTGCAGACACCAGTTTATGAGCATAAAAACGAGAAACACAGTAAAGGGAGGCCGTTTTGTCCTTGGACACTGCAGAAGATGTAACATCGCCTCCCATTCATACTTTACAATCTGTGGTTGCCGGGATCCTCATAGCAACACAGATCAATTTATAAAATACAGGTTACTTACAATGCACATTGACTGGGTCGATAACTGCTAGTTCTATACTGTTGAGGCCCTCACTGGGACAAATATTGATTCGCAGACATGTAGCAACTAAGCAATATTTTTATAGTCAGTCAATAAATAAAACCCCAAACTTCTTAAAACACTCTTCAATATTTTCCTTTCCGCTTTCGACCTGAATTGAGACGTAAATTGATGATTTGTCTGATTTTAGGCACAAGACTTCAGCTATGAAGCAGCGCCACCTAGTGGACGTAGATTTCCCCAATATAGGTTTATTTGATGGTATACCCAGGGTGTGAATTAAACTTTGAAGATCAGAGGGGGTCAACTTTTTCTATGTAATTTTGTTTAATACATGCTTTAGTGAATTAAGTTAAGTGACATCTATTTTATTAGTGCAACATTTAACTTCCAGTGTTTTGTGAGAGTTTGTGCATTCTGAAATACAATATGCAATGACTAGCCATTCCAGAAGTTACCGAGTCAAACAATGCATCCAATTTTACTTCAATTTTAGGCTTTTTGTAAAAACATCTACAATAAGTGTTTTGCGAACACCATGTCTATTGGCTTTGATTAAATGCCGCGATTATGCATTTACAATAATTTAATTCATTATAGAGTTGGTCAAAAGTACATTTATATTACCTATTTAATGAATAATATTTTAGTATGTTCTGATCTGCATCTTTTTCTTACTATTTAGACCAGGACTGACCAAAGATAAAGCATTAATTAGGGAGGTGGGGGGAGGGGTCACAGCCACCCTGTAATTCGCAGTATAATCAGACTATGCTTAAAACTTGAATGTAGATTAAGCTTTGGAGTGCACATTTAAGAGTATTAAAAACTAAATCCACATCTCTGCCAAATACCAATATACTTTATTACAGGGTGTATATACAAGCATATCCTTCTGTTGAACAAGCATATGGACTCTAAACAAAAATTAACAAGTGAGTTTGAAAAACAAAACCCACATTTAAGTATTTCTACAGAAGTACTCCAGTATTGAAATTGATCAAATAAAAAATAGAAATCAAAACAAGACACTGAAAATATCTCTAGTCTGATCCCACTCCATTATCAGTTAAACCCACCCAGTTTTTCAGCATTGGAAATAAACCAAAACATCTTCACACACACCCACTCGCACACACACCCATTCACATTCATTCACTCACTCAACTCACATTCAGTAATTTACACTAAAGTAGCACAATGACATATGCCACATTAATAAGTGGAAAAAGCTCAGTCTCTCACGCGCACACACATACACATTTAGTTTCAGTGCTGACTCTCTGCGGAGGCAGATCGAGAGCGGCTCTGTTTCCTCTGAGGAGTTGGAGAGCGGGAAGGAGATCTGTTGCTGGTGGATTTCTTCTCTGGGGTGCGACTGAGGGAGCGGCTGCGAGAGCGCTTGCTTCCACGCTCGGGGCTGCGACTGCGGCTTGGGGAACGAGAACGAGAGCTGCTCCTGCTGCGGGAACGACTCCTACTGCGGCTGTGGAGAGAAGAGAAACATGTTATGACCTGACACACAAAGAGGATGTTTTGGTCAATGTTGATTTAACTGCTTTGTGTCCTTATTACACGTTTTAAAATCAATGTTTGGAAATTTATATATTAATTAAATATATTAGTTCATTAAAGTTTGTAAAAAAAAAAAAAAAAAAAAAGAAGTTTTCTTTCTTGAACAAGTTTTGAAAAATTATGGAAACCTGTTGAAAAATGTTGCAGGGTGTTCCATGACACCCTGACAGAAAATACACAGAGCAAGGGCACTAGCTGCTAGAGAATGTGTGGGGAAAAAGTTGCTAATCATCATGTTTTTTTGGGATTGTCAGAAATTAACCCCATACTAGAAAGAGATTAAAATCCATTTAGACACCATTTTTAAATTAAGAAATTCCCCTTACTTGTGAGCCTTTATATTTAGGTAATATAAATTTAGATGGATGTATTCATAAAGACAACAAACTTGTTTATTCTTCTGACAGCTTGTACAAAATAAAAATTACTACATTCACCTCCAATTGAAGAACGGATTAATACAGTACACACTATACATGTCATGGATCTTTTTTTAATAACAGACGGAAAGCTTTTTCTAGTTTAGAGTTAATAGAGAAGAGTATTTCACCAATATGCCTGGATGTTTCTTGATTTGTAAATTTAAAAATTTAGATTTTGCATCTAAATATTTATCTGTTTTTGTTTAAAGGCAATCTTCAAACTTAAAATAAAAAAACAACATTTGTGGAAACCTTTTACCATTGACTTCCATAATATTTTCCTAATATGAAAGGAATCGGTTTCTTGTTAACATGATTGAAAAGAAATTCTGCATTCAACAAAAAAAACTTAATTCAACAAATAAATCTCTAACGTCACAATATTTTAAGTCTGAAAATTAGTTTAGATTAAAATGGATTTGACTAGTACTTTGAGAACTCACAATCAAACAGACTATTGTCAGGCTGTAGATAATAAACCAAAAGTTTAAGCTTATAAAATTGGCAGCTAAATTGAGTAAAAATACGTAAAAACGGTTTCTGAAGTACTCATTTATACATACTTCCTCTTGCGATCCTCATACAACTTGAGTTTGCGCCCGTTCAGGTCAGTTCCATCAAGCTTCTCGATGGCATTCTTCATATCACTGTGTGAAGCAAACTCCACCACCCTAGAAAATAAGGAAATCAGTTAACCAAAAGAAGATTTTTGGAAAGTGAAAATAAAAGTTCATCAACATACCCTTAAACTACAAACACGTGACAGTAGCTAGGTTTTCATCCAAAAATGCTAATTAATGGACAAAACAGGAATATCACAAAAGACGTGCGAATAAAGCAGCGTTTCCATCCAACGAGTGAAAGAGAAAAGTCACTTGCTGATTAACTGGCAGCAAAAATTAAATATAAAAACCGAATTTGCTGCAGTAGAAGCTGTGGGAAGCTTTTCTTCATTTATTAAATGATGTGTGACTCAGAAGACTAGGCTGACACACAATGAACACGCAAGCATTTAAAAGTGTAAGATGCAGAGCACAGACGCTCTTGACATTATGCGTATAAAAATGTGGATGGAAACACAGCTAGTAAGAGCAGGCTTGTGTTTATACGAACATGAACTTACCCTTCATTCTTTTTGGTCCTGTGTGCATCCACAAAAGTGACTTCTCCAACCTTCCTCATCAAGTCCTTCAGGTCCTGTAGGAGAGCACAGAGTACTTAAATGACATGTTTTCAGAAAAACAGCACCGAGTCACAGACTGCAGTTTAGCACCCACACATTATATACACACTGCATTCTGCAGCATCTGCTCTAAAATGTGCACTGCTGCACCTGTAGAAAGCTCCCTCAACAGATGGCGTCTTACCGGTGGATCTGTCCCAGTTATTAAATTACCAGAACAGTTTTCAGCAACCCAGGTTTCTTTAAGATGGCCCTCTGATGGAGACACGCCTGACTAAAGCTAGTTCCTGAGAACAGGTTCTCAATTTGGTTAAGTAGATTTTGTGCAAATCTCAAGTCTACCTCCCAGCAATCTCTCCATTTACAGCTAACGCCAGATTTAAAGTGACAGATCCCTCTTAACCGTGTAACTATCCAGTGTGATGAGCTACTTACCGTTCCAAACCACAGAAGGCATTAGCAAAGAGCCACTTGTCCAAATAGCAAACTGAAGCAATGAAGCGTTAAAACGACCTCGGAATCGACCCATCCGGCCTCCGTAAGAACGGACCCCACCAGAGAGAGAGAGAGAGGATGGGGGAGGGGCCAAAACCCTGCACCCCTCCCCGCTTCAGCACCAACAGAATAAGACCCAAACATCAGATCGGAGGGGATGGAGCAGATCTGACATCACAGACCCTCCAGAGAGCGGCTACCCAGCTCCTCTAAGGCTATCCTGTGCTACGGCTCTGTTTGGAGCTACGGACCCAGCCAAGACTTAGACCGGCAGACATTGCATGACGGGTGAGGCACCACAGGGACACTATTGAGAACACAACCAGGGGAGGGCGCTATGCACCTCGCAGGCTGTGCATGCAACTCCAATTAAAGAATACCAGAGCACAGCTGTTAAAGAAAAGGTTTGAAAAACATGGGTCTGGGTTAGAGAACCTTTCAGCATTCAAATCATCATTTATGTAAGGTTTGGCTGAGGTGAAGAGTAAATTCCAGTTTAACAGTAACAATAACTATTGCTTTGTGTGCTTGTACTGATGTCAATGGCAAACGAAATGCAGAGTTGATGAAACGCTTACAACAGTAGGCCACTATGCCACTCTGATAGTGCGGGGAGCTCACCTGCCAGCTGATGCGAGAGGAGAGATTCTCCACTATGATTCTGTGCTCTGTGCGCACTGGTGGTCCATACCTGTGAAAAGGGCAGGGGTCAATTCGAAGGACTGAATCATACGGGAAAAATACCAGTACTCAAAACGCAAACAAACCTGGAACCGCCACTGCGGGACTGACGATAACCTCCAAAGCGTGGAGAGAAACGACCTCCCATTCCTGGGCCACCACCTCTTCCTCTGCGAGAGCGGGCATGCTCAATGGTCACCCTAGAGTCAAGACAGCAGCATTAAGCAACAGTGAAACAAAACTGATCTATTGTTATGCTAACAGTCAACAAAACTCATGGGATATTTCAATGAAAATTATTTTCATGACTCGTTAAAACCAGTGTACGCAGCACTGGATTCAGTCTCACCTCTCACTGCACAGCTCTTTGCCATTCAGTTCATACACTGCATCATCTGCATCCCTGTAGTCGTCAAACTCCTGTAAACAAAAACAGACAGCAGGGGGCAGTAAGACACTGACTTCACTTGCACGTCTCAAGCAAAAAAGACCCTCAAGTGTCTTAATACTCACCACAAAGCCAAACCCGTTTTTCAGGTTAATCTCTCGGATACGTCCGTAGCCTTTGAAGAACTTCTCCACATCTCTTTCACGAGCATGAGGGCTCAGACGGCCAATAAACACACGACATCCACTCATGGTGATGAAAGTTTTTTTTAAATATCTGGGTTTAGAGAAAGGCAAGTTAAATCAACAGTTTGGCAACAACTATGAACTGTATGGAGAAAAAAAAAGTTCACGCGCCGCCCTGTTGGTCATTAACAGAATAACCGCTGGATAATCATTTGTAAAAGTCCAGTCAGTCCATGTAAATCATTAATAAACATCACGACAAACTATACGTGAATCTAGGACAAAAAAGGGTTTCTGCTATACCCGGTCCTCCAACAAACATTGCGTGAGCAACAACGGCTTTACTGAAGCGTTTGATTTCCCGCTTACGTTACAAAACGGCACGTTTCTCTGCAGAACTTCATAATTTGTATTTAAACAATTACTACACACACTGCAACGGTAGGTTACTGAAAACACAAATTGATACTAAGTTACAAATAATAAATTCTACAAAAAAGTTTAATAACTTTGAGAAAATAATCCGCATCTAACGTGACAAACACGCACCAGCCTCGCGGCCGAGGCCTAGCCCACATGCGCAGAAACATTTACTTCGATGTCAAACCATAAAAACAAACCAAAAACGTTAAAACGAAGAACATTTGCAGCAATAAATCTAACATGAATAACAAATCTAACAATATAACTAAAATAAAAGATGATAACTAAGGAAATCAGCTACGTCCTCTCACCTCTGGATACCGAACAAAATGGCGTTGGCCTCGATACTGGAGAACGCGGCCACGCGCAGAAGTATATATATGCGTGTTCACGCGCGGGGGGAGGGTAAAGGCGAGGCTCGTGCATGCGCACGTAAACCCATCGAAATAGGAACCCATCTATGGTTTCAATTTCACATACATACACTGGTTGTGGTTCGTCACAACACAGCCCTTGGTTTATATTCAGTTGTTAACGTTAGCCTATATTTTATACTTTAGCATCTGAAGTCAGTTTATGGAGGATTGATCTAGTCTGGAAGTTATCAGGAAACTGGAGACAGACATCACATGAGCTAAGCAAAGGAAGAGTCACATGAGAACAATGACTCTTGGGATTAGGTGTGAATTAATTTAATCAATGTTTAAAAATAATACAGAAATGAGCATCTCCACCCAGTGACAGCAATGAAGTTCTGGAGAAAAACACTTTTAATTTCTTTATTCTCTAATCATCTGTAAATATCTGAAATCATCCATCACATCAAAACAAGAAGTACTAATCGAGGCTAGAAATGGCATCAGTGGGGAAAGCCTATAAAACGAGTCTTGCTGAACTAGTAAAAGATCACAGTTGTGGACTAAATAAAACAAAAATAACATTATAAGAATCAGGCTCTAACGGTTGATAAGATCTTTGACAAAACAACAGTAAATAATCATATTCCAAATATAAAATTCAATTATATAAATACGTCTCCAAATACATCCCACAGATTTGACACCCATGTTGCCACCTACAATGCCATGCCATCCTGAGAGACAGAGGGGAATATGGGCTTCTAGAAGAGATTTGCAAATAGAGAAGCAAAATGGCACAGAAGCATCAAAATAATACTGAAAGACGAATCATTTACTCTTATATATACCATAGTCAGGGTATACCACATTTTTAATATTTATAATTTATAATGAAGATTGCCGTTGACCTTTTTTAGCTGACAAAATTTTCTACCACTGTTTGTGGTAAGTTTTAAAATTGCCAAATTACCGACCCATTGAACAAACTGTACAACTGTTTGACAACAAAAATTTGATATTGTGCACACCTTAACTAAGGTCTAAAGCCTAAAAAGGCCTTTAGTTGTGGCCTTCAGTTGAAAACAATTCACTACTTTTAAAATCTGAACAGATTTTAAAACACTAGGCATCATACACTTGCTTTGTTACAGAGAAAATCTGGGCATCATACATTAAGGAGTACATGTACCACCAGACTGAACACACACACAGAAACGTGTGTCATTAAACCAGGGCTTGTTCGATATCCCCCAACTTGGATGTAATCATAATCTGAAGCTTTTTTTTTACTCTTCAGACTGGCTTTGGTTTTTGGCAATTGATGCTGACTCTTCCAGACATAGAACCGGGGAGTATGTCTGTGCAAATGTAGCAATGTGTGATTACTGGACTATTTATTCAGCCTGTACGTTTAAAAGGCAGATAGCACAATACTGAAAGCCAAGAGTGACCATTAACACCTCTGCAACACACATTCCCTCTCTTCTTAACCACTCAGCTGTTGCATTCAATCACAACACAGTAAGACAGTACTGATACCAGAACTGATGTGCAGACCACACCCACACTTACCCACCCTACCCCCTCAACATCAGCCGCACAAATGCCCCCTTTGTGTCCTCAACGACAGGGCAACAGCACTCTTTTGTTTCAGCTGAGTCCAGCATATCAATGGCTTACAGTTAAAAGGCTGCAATTTCCAGCTGCGGTCAGTGGTTTCGTCGGCCCTTTTCAAAGTAAATTCATCAAAAACCTTGCACCAAAATATAAAAAATAGCAAAAGAGAATTCATAAAATGAATGTAAACCAAGATGACATAAGATTGACATCGTGTAATTAAATTAAAGCAGATTTATATTAGTAAAATCATGGAGGAGGAAAAAAATGAAGGTAAAGAATGCAAGTTCCTCAGCAATCCTCATCCATCACAAAATAGAAATAAATACACAGCAAACTCGGCTAAATCTGGAGACAGAAATGAATGTTTTTAAGGAAGGGCCCGATAGTGCTGTAACAAACCCAGCAGAGGGCAGTACATCATTCATAATGTCCTGTGCACTTATTATAACACTAACTAGCAAACACGGTTTAATTTCCCTTAAATTTTAGTAAAAATCAAAATTCTAAAACGTTAAGAGTACCACTGCAAGGGTTTCAAATCCCTGTAGGCTCTACTGAAAAACATGACTTTGATTTCCTCTATCAGCGAGGCCATGAGGTCTGGTGTTCATCCAGTCCAGCAGGAGGCGCTGTAGCAGCAGGATCAGAGGTTGGAGAGTGTGTGTGTATGCTCAGATTAGTTTAACACTGTGTGTATATATATATAAGATCACACACGGGTGTGTCTGCAGCTGTGTGATGTTCCAGACGCCGCTTCGGCAGCAGACGATGGCTCCTCGTCACTGGATTCATGTGTGTGTGAGTGTGTGTTCTCCTTCCGCAGGCCCATGCTGATGTGGCTCTGGAGGGCAGCAGGCGTGAGCCACTCTTTAGGCAAACAACTCTGCAGAAATGGAATACAGGAGCTGAAATATGCCAATCGATTCACCCAGCGCGGTATTTCTCTTCCACACAGCAACTACAGATAGAGAGAGAGAGAATGTTATTATGTGAGAATGTCAAATGTCATCAATCTGCGAGCTTGTAAATGACCCAGTTTGATAATCCATAAAAGACTGACAGAAAACAGAGAAGGGGAGTAAACTGACCTCAGAGAGCGAGGAAGAAAAATGGTTGCAGTTTTTGTGCATCAGGTGGTAGGCGTTCCCCTTGAACTCCTTTCCAAGCTCCTCCATTATTTTATCAATGTCTTCCTCTGCAAAGTCTGTTGTGCCCAGAGCTATAGCCTCTCTGGGGAAGAAACATGACCTGTGAGGTGATTCTTGTGTGTGTGAGTGTGTTTGTTTGTATGGTTTACATGGAAATAAACTTGTATAATGACATTGGTATTACAATGTTGAGGTGGTTTATGAGGACATGCCATGTGTCTTCATAATTTACAACTGTTAAAAAACATTATTAATGGGGTTTTATCACATGCAAACATTGCCACAGTTTTCCTTTGAGGGCTGGGTTTGGTGATACGGTTAAGGTCAGGCCAATAAGCAGTGCTTAGAGCAGGGGTGCCCAAACTTTTTCTTATTAATGGCCAAAAAGCAAATATTATGAGCCATGGGCCGAAAGCAAATATACCAAACTATAATATACTAAAGTTGCCATAGGTAATTTCCTAATTTATCTCATAATGTTTAAAAAATAAATAAAAACATTACTTTAAATCATATTTACTAATGCAGTGTAACTTTTAAAATTATAACTTACTGCAATAAAAACATAGGAGTGAACAGTGGAGTTCAATGCTGAATACACTAGTCAAGCAGAATCTGCCTTTGTCTTGATTTGCTCACCAAAGTCTCTGCATTGTCCTCGATTCATCTGGTGACAGTTTGTACATTTAAACTGCATCTGATTCATTTATGATATTTAATTGAAACATTTAATTTTAGTTAGCTTTTAACAATAAAACAAACAAAAGGTTACATTAGATTTGAAATCAAATTTTTTAAACCACCCCCATCATTCTCACTCTCTTCTCAGATGAGTGGCGAGCCAAATCAAAGGTTACCATGGGCCAACTTTGTCCCGCGGGCCCTAGTTTAGGCATCTCTGGTTTAGAGTATGTTAAATACATTCATCCAGTGAAGATAAGCCATGAAAACAAGAATGTGTGTGTGTGTGTGTAAAACTCACTTGAATTTGAACGTTTCCCCCAGTTCTGAGGCATTTCCAGGGTTGATTTCAAAAATGCCACTGAAGGGATATGGATGGCCACCATACGCAAACTCTGAAACAAACAATATGGCAAACATGAAAATGGTTAAATAAATATAAAATAATAAAATTTTTCCACATAGAGCTAAGTCATCTCACTTGAAATTGCTTTTATCCCAATATATTGCAGAAAAACTAAATACTGCAATGTCATTTTCCCCAATATTGTGTAGCAAGTCTCTTTTAGCTACTTGCTAGCAATGGCTAAACACTCCAAATTGAAAATTTAACCAGAAGTACTAAAAATCCAACTCATTTTGACATACAAAAATCTCTGTTGCTGTCTATTAGTGAGAGTCTAAAAGTTCCAATCAATCATGAATCAGTTCTTAAAGTTCCCTGTATGTCTGTGCTGCTGACGTGTTTTTGTTTGTGTGTGTGTGTGAGGGTGGGTGTGTGTGTAAAAAGTAAAAATAAAGAGGTAGAGAAAAAAACAGCAAATTCTCTGTCACTTTATGTCTAAGATCAGAAGCCTCACTGATTGGCTTCAGCATGTATTTACTTCCGTTGTGTCTTTACAGACGTACTTACTGTAACTGCTGCTTAAGTTGAAGCTAAGTCATTTAAAAATCTTACATCTTAGGGTACAAAACATATTTAGGGAATTCATCTTTACATGACAACAATATAATAAATATAGAAAAAGGTTTTCCTTTGTGTTTTAAAAAATGAGTGGTGAAATCTTGTTGCAGCAGGGAAAGGAGCTGTTGACATAGAATTGAACAAGATTTTGGTAAAAACTTAAAGAATACAAACATAAATAAAACTAAACAAAAAATGAGTTGTGTAATAACAATGAATTGACATTTAATACTTTATATAAAAGGCTTTTTTGGTGGCGGCAGCTTAAAGACGCCTCTCATGTGTAGAATGAAGTGACATGCATTGCTCAGCTGTGAGTTTTTCACAGACTTCAACAGTGTAATAATCTTGATGGTTCAATGGGTCTTGTCTATCAAATCTGATCTTTATTTTGCATTTTCTGTTGGATTTAAGTCAGGTGATTGGCTGGACCATTCTACAGCTTGATTTTCTTTCTCTGAAAGCATTTAAGAGTTTCCTTGGCTGTGTTTTGGATCATTGTCCTGCTGAAATGTCCATCCTGGTGTCATCTTCATCATGCTAATGTAGATGTTGGAT